TGTGTGTGTGTGTGTGTGTGTGTGTGTGTGTGTGTGTGTGTGTGTGTGTGTGTGTGTGTGTGTGTGTGTGGTAATACCCTCACTTTTGGCCTTTAAATCTGATAAATGTTTGTTACATGCAGCTCTCTTTGTACTTTTGCACGTTTGTTGCTGTTGTTAGTTGTTGTTTCAAACCTGTCAGAATTCTCTCTAAACTTTACTATAAACTAGATTTAGATTCTAAAAGTTAAAACTTGGATCATTGTTGTAGTAAAAACATAAATGTACACAACCTTTCAAAATAAAAGCTTTAGGCAGTTTCACGGTTATATGTTGATTGTAAAACAGGAAGAATGTCTTAAAGTGAGTCTAGATAAGCTCTGCTCTGGAACAGCTGACCTGTAGTCATCACCTAACAGGTTCTGTTTATGTAAATGAGTTGATTCTTGTTGTGTGTCTGCAGTCGTGTGCAGACTGCTCTCCTCCCATGCTCCTGCCCAACAGCTGCAGCGCTGCAGCACATCGGCGCAGCCACCAGGGCGGCCCGCCACACGTCTGCCCCGAGTGTGGGGGCGTGGTCAAGCAGCCTCTGTTCCAGAAGCACCTGCTGGAGACCTGTCTGCACTTCTCCCGCCGCATCGGGTACAGGTACGACGCTTCGCTGAGAAGCAGGGGCGCTGTGACACCTGTCACCTGTCTGTCTCTGTTTCCTCCTCAGGTGCTCCAGCTGCCTGGTGGTGTTCGGAGGCCTGAACTCTGTCAAGTCCCACATCCAGCAGGCTCACTGCGACATGTTCCACAAGTGCCCCAGCTGCCCCATGGCCTTCAAATCTGCCCCCAGCATTCAGAACCACATTTCAGCTCAGCACCCGGCCCTCACTGATGCACAGGCTATGTATATGAATATAGATTTATTTAGATATGTATGTAAATATAGATTTATTTAGATATGTATATAAATATAGATTTATTTAGATATGTATGTAAATATAGATTTATTTAGATATGTGTATAAATATAGATTTATTTAGATATGTATATAAATATAGATTTATTTAGAAATGTATATAAATATAGATTTATTTATACATGTATATGAATATAGATTTATTTATACATGTATATAAATATAGATTTATTTATACATGTATATAAATATAGATTTATTTAGATATGTATATAAA